CAGAACCAAGATCTTTGCGTTCAAATGCTTTGGCTCCTCTATCCTTCTCAATGGAGAATTTGAAGATGCAATTATGGTTCAGAGAGCAGCAGCAGCAGAAGTAGCATTCCCATGACTCTACAGGGTGCTGTAGAAACTAGGAAAAATTCGTCTAAAGGTAAAGTGGCCAGTTCTGCAGTCCGTCTTATGCTCCATTCACCATTACGGATGTGAGAGCTGAGTCTTAAAAGTGGAAGACGTGAGGAAGCTATGATCTTTCGACAACTGGTGTTCACGTGTCAGCTCGGGGACAAGATTCATCAACCATATATCCAAGGTGACACTCCGTCCCCTCGACAACATCATCCAGCTCTTCACGTTTCGAAAGAATGGCTGGAGCGTGCGATGAGGTGCTAACCAGAGGCGAAATCATCTCCATTCGACTGAATGCTTCCCCTGAGTCAGAGACGATACCAGAAAAGACGCGGAAGGTCAAGACCTGGTGAAATACTGTCAGACTCGATGGTGAGGTCATCTCTTGGTCAGCAGTGCATGTGAGTAAACACTCGCAAAAAAAGACTGATCGAATTTGGTGGCGGTCATTGCACATGATCGGCTAAGGTGGAAAGGAACGATACGGAATCTCACTGTCCACTGATAGTGACATCATTGGCAACAACAACCAATACAACATAAGTGCCATTGTTTGATATAAAAATTGTTAGAAAAGAAAGCCCAGATAGGAGGCGAATAGTTTTATTTTAGAGCAGTGTTTCAGAACCACGCAACTGTGTCTAGACACCTTAGTTTATCGCCATGGAAGGTTGGGCCATAGAGCTAGAACGTGAGATATTTTGGCATCATTCTGAATGAGGTGTCGTGTTACCTGTTGCGAATAATGAGTTTGAGCAAGCTGCTCACCCCACCTCAACAGAATAAGTTAGCATCCTTGATTTTCAGGTCATGGTGTAATCCTTCGCTAACGAAGGTGCCATGGTACTTTTGACTTACTGATACAAAAAGTGACACTACAGAAGGGGGCAATGTTGATCTTCCGTATCAGCAAATCAGGGGTAACGTTTGTGACTCGTTCAAACAACCCGATGTACGTGAACTGCATGAAAAGTTTCAACAGTTCAGGTCGCCACGGGAGGTTTTAATCTGTTCTTACCTCTACGGAATTGCGTCCCCGGTTGGTTTTGCTAAAACATGAGGAAATGCGTACTGTAAAACCTTATGCATCAAGTACTGA